AGCGATTTTATCCTGCAGGTGCTCTGCAAATTCCTCCGTGCGGCCCTGCAAATGCACCACCACATCCCCCTTACTGAGGAGGAACCTGGTGATGCCAAACAGGACCGCCAGGGGGCACTCTGCAGACACAATAAGGGCAGAGAAGTATTAACAGTTGCTAAAAAAAGATAAAATCTTTGCATCCATGTAAGGGGTTTTCATATCTGTTCTTAGGGGCTAATTTTTTTGTTACTTTTGCATGCACAAAATGACAGACAGTCTTTTGCACACACTTGGGCACACATAAAGTACACTTTTCAAGTTCTTATTAGCTAGTTTGATTATTTGTGGGTGCTAGGCTGGAATGGAACCTCTGCAAACAACAAGGGCTACTATAAACCATTTGTTCATGTTTTTTTTATTATTATTATTTCACTTTGTGACCTGCTTGGTAAAAAGTTTATATTTCATTCTTGTTTTCTTATATTTACGCACACATGTATGTACCAGGAAGGTTAAACACAGAAAAACTGGTCAAATAGTTTATTTGGGATGGGCATGGACAACTTACCTGCTAAACTGCTTTATTTGGAATGCTTGCCAATTCCTAGATGAAAAATATAAAGGTGCTCATTTTGATAATTCAGTCATCATTTTATCCTTACCCAAAGGTTGATTTTGTGGATCTCCATCTTCAGTTTTAGAAGTTCTGCTAAGAACAGATGCTGGTTTCCAACTGTTATTCTCTACATCCAATAACTAAAAATCCAAACGAGTCCCTGAAAATAAATTCCCCATAAAGGTTCTGAGTGTTCTTCTTTAAATAATGTTATTACAGTGGTGAATTATCTGGTAATATACTGTCATCTTTAAATTAATTATAAATGAAGTTTTTAATAGCCATTTAAATGGTGTTCTAATTAGACATAGATTTATTGAAATGAATAATTTAATTCTGATAATTTAGCTTAATTTTCAAATTGATTTTATAAGTGGTTAATTCAGCCTTTGGCTGGTTACCTTCAGATACGTTGGACTCTTTTTCTTAATTCCCAGCCAACATAATGGTGGCTGAGAATTGGATCAGCTAAACTTCAGTATATCTGGAATGCAGGCTGAGAAGAATGAGTTAGCTTAAAAATAATGTTCATAGTTCTGTAATCTTAGCCAAAACAGGATTTCCAATAGGCATTTTTTCCTAATAGTTAGAATTATATTTAATTATACACTTTATTTTCTTTTACAAGATCTTTTTTGCAGCTAAAGAAAAACCTCAAATGATCAAGGGGTAATTTTAAGCTGTACATATGTTAATAATAACTCCCTGAGAAGCTTGTTTCTAGGTAGTTGTAGATACTGGTTATATATAAAAATATATTTTTAAAAAATGTGTGGTTACACAATTATAAGTATGAAATAAAAATGTAATATTTGATACTAATATTGCGTTTTCTTTTTTTCTTTAGAATATTGGAACTCCTGAAGGACCAACTCCAAATAAATTATGAATGTTGAACAAGATGACCTTACATCCACAGCAGATAATGATAGGTCCTAGGTTTAACAGGGCCCTATTTGACCCCTTGCTTGTGGTGCTACTGGCTCTTCAACTTCTCGTGGTTGCTGGTTTGGTCAGAGCTCAGACCTGCCCTTCTGTCTGTTCCTGTAGCAATCAATTTAGCAAAGTAATTTGTGTGAGAAAAAATCTGAGAGAGGTCCCTGATGCTATATCTACTAATACAAGGTTGCTGAATCTCCATGAGAACCAAATTCAAATAATCAAAGTGAATAGCTTCAAACACCTGAGGCATTTAGAAGTCTTGCAGCTGAGCAGGAATCACATTAGAACAATTGAAATTGGGGCCTTCAATGGTCTGGCTAATCTCAATACTTTGGAACTCTTTGACAATCGTCTTAGCACCATTCCTAATGGGGCATTTGTGTACTTGTCAAAACTGAAGGAACTTTGGTTGCGAAACAACCCCATTGAAAGTATTCCCTCTTATGCTTTTAATAGAATCCCTTCCCTGAGGAGGTTAGATCTGGGGGAACTAAAAAGGCTTTCATATATCTCAGAAGGTGCCTTTGAAGGTCTATCCAATTTGAGGTATTTGAACCTTGCTATGTGCAACCTTCGGGAGATCCCTAACCTCACACCACTTGTAAAACTGGATGAGCTAGATCTTTCTGGGAACCACTTAACTGCTATCAAGCCAGGGTCTTTTCAAGGGTTAATGCACCTGCAGAAATTGTGGCTGATCCAATCCCAGATTCAGGTGATTGAAAGGAATGCCTTTGATAACCTTCAGTCACTAGTAGAGATCAATCTGGCCCACAACAATCTAACACTACTGCCTCATGACCTCTTCACACCTCTCCGTCTGGAAAGAATCCACCTGCATCATAACCCTTGGAATTGCAACTGTGACATCCTGTGGCTCAGCTGGTGGATTAAAGACAAAGCACCCTCCAACACTGCATGCTGTGCCCGTTGCAACACACCTCCCAGCTTGAAAGGAAGGTACATTGGTGAGCTGGACCTGAATTACTTTACATGCTATGCTCCTGTGATCGTGGAGCCGCCAACAGACCTCAATGTCACTGAAGGCATGGCTGCTGAGCTTAAATGCCGAGCATCAACATCCCTGACCTCTATATCTTGGATTACTCCAAATGGATCTGTTATAACACATGGGGCTTATAGGGTTCGGATTTCTGTGCTCAGTGATGGCACATTAAATTTTACAAGGGTAACTGCGCAAGACACAGGGTTGTATACATGCTTGGTGAGTAACTCTGTTGGGAATACTACGGCTTCTGCAACTCTCAATGTAACTGCACAGGAGTGTATTACTTATTTTTCAACCATCACAGTAGAAACTGTGGAACCTTCTCAGGATGAGGCACGGACCACAGAACAGGTTTGGCCTACGCCGGTTATTGATTGGGACACCACCAATGCGACAACCTCTCTCACACCACAGAGCACAAGGTCAACGGAAAAAGCATTCACAATTCCTGTGACAGATTTAAGCAATGGGATCCCAGGAATAGATGAGGTTATGAAGACTACCAAAATCATAATTGGTTGTTTTGTGGCAATCACTCTTATGGCTGCTGTGATGTTGGTCATTTTTTACAAAATGAGAAAACAGCATCACCGGCAAAATCACCATGCTCCAACACGGACTGTAGAAATCATTAATGTGGATGATGAACTTACAGGTGATACACCTATAGAAAGTCATTTGCCCATGCCAGCAATAGAGCATGAGCACTTAAACCACTATAACTCTTATAAATCTCCTTTCAACCACACAACAACAGTTAACACAATAAATTCCATACACAGTTCAGTGCATGAACCATTATTGATCCGAATGAACTCTAAAGACAATGTACAAGAGACTCAGATCTAAACCATTTACAGATTTAAGGGGGAATTTAAAACAAAAAGACAGTTTATTAAAAAAAAATGACACAGATGACTGGGCTAAATCTACTGTTTCAAAAAAAGTGTCTTTACAAAAAAAGAAATTTATTTATTAAAAATTCTATTGTGAGCGAAAGCAGACAAAATTATGTGTATTCCTCAGAACCTCTTTTTGCTGCATTTATTTACCCTACCCTACTGATTTCCCTTTCCTTTCTTCTTTCCCTTTCCTTCCCCTTCTATCCCATTTGCCATATTTTTCATAGAACAACTTGATTCTCTAAAGAACTGGTCTAGGAATTTTTGTAAGAATTCTGTTAATGCTTTGGGAATTTTTATGGTGAATTCTAGTGGTGAGATTCGGTCTATTTTGTCTTTTATCATTTTATTTTCTTCTCATGCCCTTTTTGAAATGGTTCAGTGAGGAAATGGATGTTAGCAGTAGATTCATAAGAACAATCAAGGAACAGAAACAAACAAAACAAAACATTTTATTTTTCTTTTATTTTTTCACATTTCTGTATTTCCTGAAGGGACCATTCTGTGGAAGGAAAACAAAACAAACAAACAAACAAAAAACCAAGAAATTAATTTTCATGTGAGCATCTATAAAACCCATGATCTTTTAAACAACTCTAGAACCAGGATTTGTAGTTCAAACACTAAAATAAGATTATAAATAAAATATTGTTGGTTTTTTTTTTCTGTACTCATTTTTAGTGTGATGTTAAAATGTCAAAAGGTGGTGCCACATTTTACATTTTTTCCTTTATCATTCCATTGCTTTCCAACAAAAAACAAAAACGAAATAATAATAATAACAAGAATATTATAGCAACATTTTGGGTTTTAACTAAAAATAACAATACACTTACTTTTTTACATAATAATCAGCATACCATGCCTGATCACCATCAATAAATCAGGAAATTTATTGGGGTTAAATATAAGAAATGAATTTATTGAAGAAATGAATGAAAGTTATCTTGATATTTGATGAGAATTGTTCATGAGATAATATCATTTTTCCCCTGGAATGCTCTGGAAATTCTGCCTCAGATTTCAGGCTGCTGAAAGCAACTAAACTTACTCTTGTTGGGACACCAAAGGATTTGCTTTCCTTGTTAACCAAAGGGGGGGAAATGTATCCATTTCATGTTTGAAGATAAGACTAACCAAAAGGAAGGAAGGAAGGAAGGAAGGAAGGAAGGAAGGAAGGAAGGAAGGAAGGAAGGTAGGTAGGTTTGATGCCCCAGAAAAATAATATATTTGAGGGGGCATTTGCTACCCAAGGTTCTCAAACCACTGGTCCAAATAATTTGAACCAGCACTAATCTTAACCATGTGTTGGAATGTGGCCTTAATTTGTAAATAAAGGTTATAATTAACCACAAGTAAATATTCATCTACTTTTTCTGGCTTTGGTGGTGTCTTGTATAGCAAGCCAAGGACATCAACAAAAGGTTCAGATTTCACAAGGCTTGTTTGATTATATATTATTAACCTCTAGTTCTATCCAACTTTTTGTTAATGTTCATATGAAATGAGGTTTTTATTTATTTATTTTGATTGCATGAAAACACAGCTGCAAATATGGATGCTGTTTGCTATTTAGCTCAACTGAAATATGGTGGAGCAAGATAAGCTAACAAATAAAATTGTGACATTGAAAATTTCCAGGAAACAGTATTCAACAACAGGAATTAATGAAAAAAATAAAGATGAGGAGATTCCTTTAATTCTTTTTCTTTTTATCTGACTCTGACCAATCATAAGTACTACAAATCCAAGTGAGAAAGAGACAATAGTAGGCTTTTTTGTGTGTGTGTGATGAAACTGTGTTCCTTAGTGAAAACAATATGAACAATGGTTCAGAAGATCCATTGGAATCATTCCAGCCAGGGGCCCCATTCAAAGTTATGCCTTTCCATGTCTTTTAGAAAGCAGTAATTATTTATCAGAGTTACGGTGCAGAAGTTGAAAATTGCAATCCAAGCCATTACAATCCAAGTCTCTGACCTCACCAAATGTGCTCTTAACTCATCAAGGTTCAGTGCAACATTTCTTGTCAGCTAGACCTCAGTCTTCCCAAAGTTTTGGGGGAAAGTAGTCACAAGCAGAAAATTGGCAACTGATTACACACTTGAAAAGTTGATCTCTATTTTACCTTTCCCTCTCGACTAGAATGTTATTTGGAGGAGGAGAAAAATATTGATCGGTTCCATATCGATATTAATATATGTTCCATATGGATATAGTTGTATCCTGTAATAACTAGTTTAGATATTTAAAAAGAGCTGAAATAATTAACACAAATTTGTTTTTGAAAGTGTTCTCAGGATTTGTTTGCTTTTTATCTCTTTTATCTGCTGGGCTTCATGGCTCTTCTCATTTGAATAGTGTTGTTGTTGAATTGCAATATAGTAACTTCCTCTCTGCAATATCCTTAAATAATGCTTCTGGCTTGGGTAATGGAAAACAACAGTATGCATTAAAGCAGGGTTCCTCAACCTCAGAAACTTTAAGATGGGTGGACTTCAACTCCCCGAATTTCCTAGCCAGCACTGCTGGGCTGGGGAATGCTGGAGGTGAAGAGTCACCACTCCAAAACTATTGGAGGTTTGGAAAGCCACCTTTTTGTAA